TCTTCCATTGATAGGTTTGACCCATTCCACTGCACATACATCTGCAATGACTATTTTTTGGGGCGAGTGTATTATCATGCTCTGTCCCATTCTTCATCAGAACATTGTAGTTCACAGGCTCTCCCTGGGAGGAGACGAGTTGATACAACTCAAGTAGCATTGGCAAGTAGCCCTGGCAAGCATGGATCTGAAGGCTTCTCTAGCACAGCACACTTGAACTCATCAACACTGCCGACGAATTCACAGGAGACTTCAATAGTTTCCCCTTTGAGAACAGTGACCGGCTTGCTGCTGTTCACAAGTAACTGCCCTACCGGTTCATCCATGACAGGGGCAGTGACTCGATGACAGACAGCTCACAGTACATGGGCAAAGTCTTTGCAAATAGTGAGTTGGTCAACAGCACTGTCACGTGTAACATCTCTACATGACCTAACAACACGCTTCAGCAAATGTGTTGCTACAATCATAGGCACCCGCTTGGAGTACTGATGATCAAGGCAGACAAGAGCTAAGATATTGAAGGTTTCCTCAGTCTCACACAGCTCTTCGGGTAGTTGAATGGCTATTTCGATGTAACCCATGCATGGCACACTCTGCCCGGCAGTACCATCAATGCTAATAATTGTATTCAAGGGGGTCAGTTGATAGTGACTTAGGTGGGTGTGGTAGAAGGTCTCCGAAACACATGTGACCTGTGATCCACTGTCAGTAAGACTTTTATATTATTTTCCATCAACAAACACTTTCGTTTCACATGCCTCGCCGACCAAACCTTCAGGTATTTTGGAAGGTTTGTGTTCCCTCTCCACCTTTCCATCTGCATGTTTGTTCTGTGAGTGCAGCATGGGAAATGCATCTAGTTACCTCAGAACAGGAGTCATTTAGTTACCTCAGAACAGATTGTAGAGAATGATGCACTAACAGACTCGTACATACTTTATTTTCATTTCAACCATTTTATGTCCTAAGTGCTTTGCTAAAGATTGATGTAAAAAAAAAAGGGTCTGATTCACTTGATCCGTTCTTACTGCAGCTCTCTGCCCTACTTATTGCAGAGCCATTGACCTATATTTTTAACTTGACAATATTTTCTGGTGTAATCCCTAAGATCTGGAAAGCGGCCTCCCCCTACGTAACGGAAGTATTCACACCCCTGGACTTTTTCCACATTATGTTGTGTTACAGCCTGAATTTAAAATGGATTAAATTGAGATTTTGTGCCAATGATCTACACACAATACCCCACAATGTCAAAGGGGAATTTTGTTTTAGACATTTTTACACATTTATAAATTAAAAGCTGAAATGTCTTGAGTCAATAAGCCTAAATACGTTTAGGAGTAATCATTTGCTTGCCAAGTCACATAGGTTGGACTCACTCTGTGTGCAATAATAGTGGTTAACATTATTTATTTAATGATTACCCCATCTCTGTACCCAACATATACAATTATCTGTAAGGTCTCAAAGTCGAGTAGTGAATTTCAAGCACAGATTCAACCACTAAGACCAGGGAGGTTTTCCAATACAGCGCAAAGAAGGGCACCTATTGGTAGTAAAATTAAAGAAAGCAGACACTGAATATCCCTTTGAGCATGGTGAAGTTATTAATTACACTTTGGATGGTGTATCAATACACCCAGTCACTACAAAGATTGTCTGATTGTTGTCACTGTAAACTAAGATGACTTGATGTATTTTGAAAGACGTTGAGGATTATAATAAATACCACTTTGAAGTCATACAAGCAAGCCAAACACCTGTGAGTCCAAATGTGCACTTAATCTCCAAATCATAAAACGCATATATATTGTCAACGTTTATGACCACTATGTTTGATGTACAGTTGCAAGATTACATGTCGTCATACCCTGGGTTGTTCTGAACAGAATGAGCCTATGTTTATTGTTAAGAAACTTGCGATCACGACTCCTTTCTATGCGCACCAAATTACAATCTGTTTCTCTGAATTGCCTTGTCAAAGCCTAACACTGTAAGATCATATTTTATAACTTAGCTAGTCATGTAAGCAATAGAACAAGCTATCAAATCATGCCCACCTGACCCAGATTGCGATTTATAATGGACCGTTTTTGATTGCGTAAACAACAGTAATTGTGTGATGGCGGGGATGCAGGGTTGTGTTCCAAACGAAACAACTACAAGTGTGCTTCCTCTAGTTCCTCAGTGGCACTGCTAGGAGAGCTAAAAAAAAAAAGTACCTTAGGGAGTGAACGTTATTTATAATAAGAGTTACATGGAGAAAATTGGACCTGTCTGAAATGAAAATGGATGGCCCTCCCTTCAGCAAAATATATTTGACCTAAACCCTCCCTGAATGCTTGAAAAAAAAATAACAATGACCCTCCACTATACTCAAAATAATAATTAAAATATCAATTGGATAGCAGAGAACGTCCTTAGCATTTCCCCTCACTTCTTGGACAGACCAGATCCTTAGATATGCCATTTTAGAAACTGTATTTCATCCTGTAAGCATTACATGGCAACGCAGGAATTTTGATAGAGCACAAGGCTGCGGGCAAGAAGGTTGTGGGTTCACAGACCACTGTGGACAAAAGTAGGGGTGGAAAGATCTAGTTTATAGTAAAAGCATTGACTGAATCTATTGTCGTATTTGCAGGTCAGAGAAAAAAGTATTATATAAACATTTCATGCAATTCAACGTCATTTTACACATTAGCAGAATAATTTTTAATACCACACACATTACCAAAATTACAGACTAATGGACAGAGAGATAGGCCTACGTGTTACATCTTATATTTATCTAATGCAAAATCAGTGTGTCTTGTTTGCAAATAATTAATTCTGAGACATCATTAGGAGTCTGAGCATGGTACTTTAAAAAGTTAGGCCAAACTTTCCATGCCAGACAGTAGACCTACCGACACAGAAAAATGTAAGCTTTAACTGCTGGCTACTCCTCTTCTTTAACTCAATGAGAGAAGGCTTTAAATGTTTCCCTAAAAGCTGTCTGGGTTTAAACATCTTCTATTTTACATAAAGTGAATAGCTTAATAGTGACAGAATTAGATTACTTCCCAAGTAAAATCATTGTTTCCCTCCTCGGCTATAGAAGGTTGTAGCTTAGCCACTGAATGTCAAAGAAACAACACAATTTATTTTTCTTCACAACCAAGCCCTCTTGTTGTTAGTAAAGTCTAATTAAAATGAAGATGTTGAAATGAATTATGCCTACTTAAATTTGCCTACTTTCAGCACCATGAGCAGTCCATTTCCGATTGATTGATTGCTTCAAGTTTCAGCACCACAATGTAAATTACTCAAATCTGGCTCATTGTTAGGTCAATAACTCTGATAAATACATCATGGACAAGAAACATATTGTTTTTATTAAAATAAATTATATACTGAACAAACATATACACGCAACATGCAACAATTTCAAAAATTTTACTGAGTTACAGTTCATATAAGGAAATCAGTCAATTGAAATAAATTCATTAGGGCCTAATCTATGGATTTCACATGACTAGGCAGGGGCGCAACCATGGAAAGGCCTGGGAGGGCATAGGCCCACCCACTTGGGAGCCAGGCCCGCCCACTGGGTAGCCAGGTCCAGCCAATCAGAATGAGTTTTCCCCACAAAAAGACTTTATTACAGACAGAAATACTCCACAGCTTCATCAGCTGTCCGGGTGGCTGGACTGCCAAATTCTCAAAAACGACATTGGGAGCAGCTTATGGTAGAGAAATTTACATTAAATTATCTGGCTACAGCTCTGGTGGACATTCCTGCAGTCAGCATGCCAATTGCACGCTCCCTCAAAACTTGAGACATCTGTGACAAAACTGCACATTTTAGAGTGGCCTTTTATTGTCCCCAGCACATGGTGCACCTGTGTAATGATCATGCTATTTAATCAGCTTCTTGATATGCCACACATGTCAGGTGGATGGATTATCTTGGCAAAGGAGAAATGCTCACTAACAGGGATGTAAACAAATTTGTGCACAAAATTTGAGAGAAATAAAATAAGGATTTTGTGCATATCGGACATTTCTGGGATCTTTTATTTCAGCTCATGAAACATGGGACCAAGACATTACATGTTGCATTTATATTTTTGTTCAGTATAGTAGTAGCAAGCTATCAAAGTTGACCTCCGGTCCTCCTTCTCATCTTCCTGCTCTCTTATAATTTCTCAATCAAGTTTGTACCAACAGGTGTAGCCTATTGAATATCATTGTAGAATAGGCATATGCATAAAATGCATCCTCCAATTGCAACGTCTTCCTAAGCCCACACATATTGTCAGAAGAAACATTTATATTTCTAGCACCCTCAAACACCAAATTAGACATACCTAATTTGAAAAAATGACCTTTTAAATGTCCAAACTGCATGCCAATCATTTGATCTCAATCAGTTTCATGGGAATATGCATTTAGATATTCTTGAATTACTGTTTCATGGGCAAATTAAAGGAGATGGTGTTAAACTATTAGCCTTTGTCTGCCTATTTTGTTTTAATCAAAGCATATATCCTGCCTAGTTGCACGCACTGTTAAATGACTGAGGAGGTGTTTTTGGTTGAACATATTATAGGCCTACTATGCTACGGTAGGCTAGCCTTTATACTATTATATCAATTTCTGTTATGTAAAATAGTAATTAATCATTGTGATCTTGCGAGATATTGATTCTGCTTTGATCTAACTTTACTAAACGAGCACCATTGTGAGAAGTGATAATCTTCTATTTGTAATAATAAGTGATGAGTAGGACTAGGCAACAGATCTTGATGAGGACTATTTTAAGCGATTTGAGCGCCCTTCAAATCGTGGCTGAGGAGGTAAACAAGTGGTCACGTCGTTCTGGGTTCCACTGCGCAAGAGGGATCCTATGGAGTTTTATGAACATCAAGGCAGGTATGCAGTGAATTTGGATCCTAGATCTCGTTGGTGTGATGATAAGGTTCATGCGGTGGATCAGTTTGTTTGCATACGCAATGGAGGTGGTACATTTCTGTAAGGTAAGAACTCAGAGAGTAAGGCGAGTTCAAGTGTTTCTTAGGTCTATATGAGCCCCAAGTCCATAACAAACTGTTTTGAGGACAGCCGTTTTAGCAACCCCTGGTAGAGTTTTCTGTCTGTGGCTGTTCTTGTTATGTCGGATTTGGCCCGCTCAAAGTGGTCAAGCCTCGGACCGACAGGCCTCTGCACACACAACCACAGTTATTCATAATTCACACCACCGCCAAAGAGAGAGAAGAAGGAACAAAACACTATTTACCTATAGGCTGCAATAGCCTACATATTTATTCAGCTTGTCATTCTATCGTTTTCATGGAATTTTTTGTGGTAATTAAATATATTTTATTTAGAATTGATCAGAATTGATTTTCAAATATTTAGCAACTCCGTGTATTCTCAAATTGAAAAAAGCGAGGGAGTGCCACTCCACCGCGCTTCAGCAGCACTACATCCCTGGCAGTGTGTAATGCAGCCTAGTTTTATTTACACCATCCCAGCAGCTATCTTAGAAATATAAATTTGTGGTCTATAGCCTACATTTGATTGAGACCACACTAAATAGCCTATAGGCACACATGATATTGTACGCCCAGCAGAGAATCAGAGATGAGAGGCAGCATCAGGCACACATCGATATATAGCCTTTTAAGCAAGTAATTCTAAAACACTGAGAAATATTGCAATTTCATCCATTACAAATTACATGTTCCTCCCCTGGACTAGATTTAAAAAATACTAAACCCTTCCCTTGACTGAAATTGAAAGAGCATGACCCTCCCCCATTTTCCTCCAGGTACCCATTAGGTACATTTCTGTCCATCCCTTATAGTTGAAGACTCTTCTTTGAGTCATAAAAGTGCATTACAATTGCTCAGGAACTGGAGAGGTGTGTGGCCACTTGGAGACACCAGTTAGTCCTCTCACTCAAAACATTGTAACTTTTTTGTCTTATGCTGCACCTACCCCACATTTTCCAGGAATAGTTTTATTTTACTGAATGTATCCAGAGTATTTTTAGATTTCTTTATCAACAAATGTGGCGAAAGTACAGTAAATATAAAATTAAAATTAAAATCAACAGTGTAATGGTTGGATTCAGTCTTGTCAGGTGAACTATTGTGTACTCACCTTTTGGTCTAATTTCCCCATTATCTCCAAACCTTTCCCTTTCATTTGCTACCATGGTTATACATTTGCTTTTCGTAATTTTCTGTAAGAAACATATACATTGAGCCCTATCCATATACACTACCAGTCAAAAGTTTGGACACATACTCATTCAAGGGGTTTTCTTTATTTAAAAAAATGTTTACATTGTAGAATAATAGTGAAGACATCAAAACTATGAAATAACACATATGGAATCATGTAGTAACCAAAAAAGTGTTAAACAAATCGAAATATATTTGAGATTTGAGATTCTTCAAATAGCCACCCTTTGCCTTGATGACAGCTTTGCACACTCTTGGCATTCTCTCAACCAGCTTCATGAGGTGGCCACCTGGAATGAATTTCAATGATCAGGTGTGCCTTCTTAAAAGTTAATTTGTGGAATGTCTTTCCTTCTTAATGCGTTTGTGCCAATCAGTTTGGTAAAAGACCAAGTCCATATTATGGAAAGAACAGCTCAAATAAGCAAAGAGAAATGACAGTCCATCATTAATTTAAGACATCAATACGGAACATTTCAAGAACTTTGAACGTTTCTTCAAGTGCAGTCGCAAAACCCATCAAGCGCAATGATGAAACTATCTCTCATGAGGACCACCACAGGAATGGAAGACCCAGAGTTACCTCTGCTGCAGAGGATAAGTTCATTAGAGTTACCAGCCTCAGAAATTGCAGCCCAAATAAATGCTTCACAGAGTTCAAGTAAAAGACACATCTCAACATCAACTGTGTGAATAAGGCCTTCATGGTCTAATTGCTGCAAAGAAACCACTACTAAAGGACACCAATGATAAGAAGAGACCTGCTTTGGCCAAGAAACACGAGCAATGGACATTATACCGGTGGAAATCTGTACTTTGGGCTGGAGTCCAAATTTGAGATTTTTGGTTCCAACCGCTGTGACTTTGTGAGACGCTGTGTGGGTGAACGGATGGTCTCCGCATATGTAGTTCCCAACGTTAAGCATGTAGGAGGAGGTGTTATGGTGTGGGGGTGCTTTGCTGGTGACACTGTCTGTGATTTATTTAGAATTCAAGGCACACTTAACCAGCATGGCTACCACAGCATTCTGCAGCGATATGCCATCCCATCTGGTTTGGGCTTACTGGGACTATCATTTGTTTTTCAACAGGACAATGACCCAACACACCTCCAGGCTGTGTAAGGGCTATTTGACCAAGAAGGAGAGTGATGGGGTGCTGCATCAGATGACCTGGCCTCCACAATCACCCGACCTCAACCCAATTGAGATGGTTTGGGATGAGTCGAACTGCAGAGTGAAGGAAAAGCAGCCAACAAGTGCTCAGCATATGTGGGAACTCCTTCAAGACTGTTGGAAAAGCATTCCAGGTGAAGGTGGTTGAGAGAATGCCAAGAGTGTGCAAAGCTGTCATCAAGGCAAAGGTGGCTATTTGAAAAATGTCAAATATAAACTATATACTGATTTGTTTAAAAAAAAATTGGTTACTACATGATTCCATATGTGTTATTTCATAGTTTTGATGTCTTCACTATTATTCTACAATGTAAAAAATAAAGACAAACCTTGAAAGAGTAGGTGTGTCCAAACTTTTGAATGGTACTGTAGGTCTATTCCCACCAGTGGTTAAAGTGGGCTTATTTTTATAGATCTTGCCTCTCCCTAAACAGCAAGAAGCAGATTGTACAGTCAACGTTCCTGACAGTTATTGACTATGGTAACACAATTTACCAGAATGCAGCAGCCACTACTCTTAAACCGTTGGATGCCGTCTACCATAGTGCTCTTCACTTTATCACAGGTAATTCGTTTTAATACGAATAACTGCATCCTGTATCAAAAGTTTGGCCGGTCCTCATTAAAGTCCCGTAGATCACTTCACTATTCCCTTTCTGTTTACAAAGCTCTACTACACAAGCTTCCGACTTACCTAACTTTGTTGTTGAAATATAAAAACATGAGTTACCAATCCATGAGTTCCCAATCCCATTCAGAGGGTTGGTTAACTCTCGTGGTTTCGAATTAGGTAAATCTGCCTTCAGTTTTAATGCCCCTCATTTTTGGAATAACCTGCGTCTTGATTCCTGGTGTCGCTAGCGCAGTTTAGGAGTCTGTTGAATTTGTTAAATGAGAATTGTATTTGTTTTGATTAAATGTACAAATGTATTGTGGTCAACAATTGTAGTAAAAACAATTTTTTTACCTGTGTTATTATTATTTGTTAATTATTTTTGCAATGTTTGTGTTTTTGTTATCCTCAGGTCACCATTGAAAATGAGACCCTTATCTCAATGGGCTCTCCTGATTAAATACAAGTTAAATAAATAAAATAAAAACAAATCAAAAAAATAATCACTTATGTTATGCTGTAGAACTTATGCTATATTTTGTAAAGATGCATGAATATCACTTAACTCGAAAGGATTAGACTTGTACAGTAAATGCATATAAAACTTATTGTAACTTTTTCTGTTTAAAAAATAAATACAAATCGACACATTTATTACAAGCCTAACAATATTTTATATTTTGAATCCCAGATACTCATAGTTGCCCTTTGATAACTGCTTTAAAATCATTAGATATGACAGCCTTTCTGTTCGAATAACTCATTCTGTCTTGTAATAGGCTGTGCGACCATAACATTTCAATAATTATGCCGTGTGTTGTACGGCTACATCTACCTCCTGTTTGATTTGTTTATATTCAGTCAAAGATCGGATCAGAATCACTCAAAGCTGTGTAGCATAGTGATTTCCCTATGCGTACTCCTGTGTACACACACCCGGCACACATATTGTACCATGACGATGCTGTCTGTATGGTAATCACCCTAGAAGTATATTATGTTTCATTTTTTTCTCATAACGCTCATCATAACACGGTAATGTAGAGATGATATTTTTCCCTGTAAGGATATTAATATTGAGAGACAGAGAGAGAGATGTTGTGTGATAAAGTGCGAGCGTGTGTATGTTTCCGGTCTATTCATACCCTTAATGAAGCTCTTGAGGTGACATGATCGTAGTGTTGTGGAAATAATTGTTTTCCACAAATGATCCAGCGCCCACCCTTGGGCCAATTAGTGACAATTATTCAAATGTGTGTTGCCTGGATTAATGGCAGAGAGAAAATATTTCATGACTCCAGCTCAAAAGGGAAAGGAGATATTCTTGTTCAAAGTTTGGTGGGGGACAAAAAGTATAATTCGCGGAGAATGTAATGGGCCAAGCTGGGAAAGTTGTTGCTCATGAGATAGCCTCTGCCAAGTCCCCAACAACCGGATGTTCCGGTTTTCAGGGGAAATGGAAGAGAGCCTGTGATGTGACTTCTGCTTTTGGTAGTTAACAAGGCGACGTTCCATCTTAACTCCTCCTCCACATTTACTGGATTGGTTAAAAGTGCAGAAAGAGAACCTCCCCTGACAGTTATTTTTCTTCTCGTCAAGACCAGTATGTAGGGGATCTAGTTTCAGGTGTTTCTTTTACATCTGCTACGTTAGGTTACCCATGAGGAGATGCATAGATGTACAAAATGTCATGACTGTAGCTCAAACAGGACAGGCGATATGCTTGTTGCCAGCCAGCCAGTCATTCTCAGCCGCATACACCCTCACATCAGAGCTGGGTCTAGCCTTGTCTGGCAGCGAAACAGTTCATTCAGCCTCATGTACACCCTTTTTAAAAAACATATCTGATATGGCTGACTTGTTTGAACAAATGTTGTTTCTACTGACAATTGAGATGTACAAACTATGGCATAAGGGAACGACGAGCGGATAAGAGGCAATCTGTAATTTAAATTAAGACATTAATGGACGGACATAGTCAATATAACTATTTGTTCAGCACTTTTGAAATGTACAGCGACAGAATTCAGAACATGGGCCGTACTTACGGTATTCTCCCTATACACCAACTCAGAACCGTAGGATAAATAAAGGGGGCATATAAGCAGACAATGAAAGCTCTTCAAATATTAAATGATGACATTACTCTAAAACAGGCTATAGGCTACATGTGCACCACCAAGTCAGAACAGTAAGCTAAGTTATGAGGAGGAAAGGGACCAAATTATTAGGGTGAGGCACATGGGCTACTAACAGCTTACTATACAACATACACTTAGTATTACTTTCTTAGCTACAGTATACATATCTCCCTGGCATATTACATAATTTACAATGCCTTGCAAAAGTATTCATACCCCTTGGCGTTTTTCTATTATGTTGCATTGCAACGTGTAATTTAAATGGATTTTTATTTGGATTTCATGTAATGGACATACACAAAATAGTCCCAAAAAAGTGAAATGAAGAAAATCTATTGTTTAAAAAAATTCGGAAAAGTGGTGCGTGCATATTTATTCACACCCTTTGCTATGAAGCCCCTAAATAAGATCTGGTGCAACCAATTACCTTCAGACGTCACATAATTAGTTAAATAAAGTCCACCTGTGTGCAATCTAAGTGTCACATGATCTAAGTATATATACACCTGTTCTGAAAGGCCCCAGAGTCTGCAACACCACCAAGCAAACGGCACCATGAAGATCAAGGAGCTCTCCAAACAGGTCAGGGACAAAGTTGTGAATAAGTACAGATCAGGGTTGGGTTAATAAAAAATATCAGAAACTTTGAACATCCCACGGAGCACCATTAAATCCATTATTAAAAATGGAAAGAATATGGCACCACATCAAACCTGCCAAGAGAGGGCCACCCACCAAAACCCATGGAACAGGCAATGAGGGCATTAATCAGAGAGGCAACAAAGAGACCAAAGATAACCCTGAAGGAGCTGCAAAGCTCCTTAGCGGAGATTGGAGTATCTGTCCATAGGACCACTTTAAGCCATACACTCCACAGAGCTGGGCTTTACGGAAGAGTGGCCAGAAAAAAGCCATTGCTTAAAGAAAAAAATAAGCAAATACGTTTGGTGTTCACCAAAAGTCATGTGGGAGACTCCCCAAACATATGGAAGAAGGTACTCTGTTCAGATGAGACAAAAATTTAGCTTTTTGGCCATCAAGGAAAACGCTATGTCTGGCGCAAACCCAACACATCTCATCACTCCGAGAACACCATCCCCAGAGTGAAGCATGGTGGTGGCAGCAGCATGCTGTGGGGATGTTTTTCATTGGCAGGGAAACTGGTCAGAATTGAAGGAATGATGGATCGCGCTAAATACAGGGAAATTCTTGAGGAAAACCTGTTTCAGTCTTCCAGAGATTTGAGACTGGGACGGAGGTTCATCTTCCAGCAGGACAATGACCCTAAGCATACTGCTAAAGCAACACTCAATTGGTTTAAGGGGAAACATTTAAATGTCTTGGAATGGCCTAGTCAAAGCCCAGACCTCAATTGAGAATCTGTGGTATGACCTAAAGATTGCTGTACACCAGCGGAACCCATCCAACTTGGAGGAGCTGGAGCAGTTTTGCCTTGAAGAATGGTTAAAAATCCCAGTGGCTAGATGTGCCAAGCTTATAGAGACATACCCCAAGAGACTTGAAGCTGTATTTACTGCAAAAGGTGGCTCTACAAAGTATTGACTTTGGGGGGCTGAATAGTTATGCTAGCTCAAGTTCAGTTTTTTTGTCTTATTTCTTGTTTGTTTCACAAAAATAAATATTTTCCATCTTCAAAGTGCAAATCAAATTTTACAAACCCCCAAAAAATCAATTTTAATTCCAGGTTGTAAGGCAACAAAATAGGAAAAATGCCAAGGGGGGTGAATACTTTCGCAAACCACTGTATGCAGCAGCATACAATACATTTTTGGACTCACCTTGTTGTGCTGTGCTCACTTGAACAGGAAGGTGGCATGGCGGTCCTTCTTGTAGGCAAATTTTGTCATCAAACTTTGTCATCAAAGTCTGGCATTGTATGGATTTATGGTGCTTTCAAGACAACTGGGAACTCGGGAAAAGAACAAGGTCGAATCATGACGTCCGTGTTCTTCAGGTCGGTGCTCTATAAAGAGGCCTGAGTTCCTGACTTGCAATTCCGAGTTGGATGACCTTTAAAACGTATTTTCCCAGTCGGAGCTCGTTTTGTTCCGAGTTCCCAATTGTCTTGAAGTCATGCTGGATTGACAGCATGACAAATGTATTCAAACATTTCTGGCACATGGTGTTGCATGTGAATGTTTATCCTTTTAAGCTTGGAAAAGAGACCCATAACCCAGACTTGGACCACACAACCACTCCACTGAATAGCAGGCTAGTGATTGCTTTGCAACGCTTGCAGTTAGCCACTGATTCCTTCCAAACCACTCATTGTTGAATTTGCGATTTCCAACTGTAATGTTTATGTCCAATGTCCGATAAGCACCGATACGTTTTATCTATAATTTCTCTTCATATGACTAGGATTGAAAAGGATTTGCCAGTAGATTGTCGACTTGATTCATGATGATTACTGCTTGTCTAACTTGCTAGCTAAGATTATGAAAGTATGATGTTGACATGATCAGTCCGATCAAAGCTACGGTAGATATAATGTGATTTGACGTCATTTTATCTGTGGCCAAAGACCTTGCGCCTTCTTGGATGGGCACTTCTAATATAAATATATGGCAGCACCCAAGGGGCTTGAATTTTCGAGTTCTCCCCGTACATTTTGCGGTGATGTAGTGTCCCCATGAGTGACAGAACACTGAGCCAATCACGGTGTAACTAGAGAACATTACCAACCCCTACGCTCCTTATTTTCCTACGGCTGCCCCACCACAGAAAGCACTGAGCTAGACTAAACACGTGCATTTTGGAGCTGCCTTACTCAAGAAAGCAAAAAAGAGACCATGTTTGTGTGCGGCTTTATTAACTCAATTATATTTTTTAACATTGTTTGTAAACTGATATGTGACACGTATGAATGCCAAAATGACATGCAAAACAGGCAACCCAACAATGTTTTTGTCTTTAGCTAAACAGGTGGGGCTCAAAACAGGCTCTGCCCTACCAGCCCTGAATGACGGGTCACCACTGATTGTAACAATCAGGAGACAGTTGGGATTGCCTAAAGTGTAAATGTTATAGAATTACATATACAGTAGATTAGGTAATTCATAGGATCTTTGTGAAAAATTATGTTGATGGCATCTGATATACTGTGTGTTTCCCCCAGACATTGACGAGTGTGCGGAGGGCCTGATCCAGTGCCACAATCACTCCTGCTGTGTCAACCTGCCGGGCTGGTACCACTGTGAGTGCAGGAACGGTTTCCATGACAATGGCTCCTACCTGATCGACGGGAGCTCCTGCATCGGTTAGTATGCAGTCATTGTATTCCACCTCTGTTGGTCGTCTCCATCTCTACTGCTCCTGTCCATCTTGGTCTTCTGTAGCTCAGTTGGTAAGGCTGTAAGTCGCTTTGGATAAAAGCTAAATGTCACATATTACAGGGGAGGGGAAGGGGGCTGTTAACATGGCTTTGCAGCTTTTTTTTCTGCTGCATGTTGCAGCCTTTTGTTGTGTAGTCTGAATGAATGAATGAATTAATTAATTAATTAATGGAATTAGATTTGCACATCATGAGGACAGCAATCATAAACAAATATATAAATAGTAGACACGGAGTAACAATCAATGACAGTACAACATACAACATTCATGTATATAGAAATCAATATCAAATACTGTTTAGTGCATAACAGTAGCTGACGTAGTGAATCACATGTAATCCCAATCTCAGTTACTGTGAGAAGAGCACGATTTCTCCCTATACCTCAGGATGTAGCGATGCATCGATCATGCAGAGATACAATGGTCAGGAATACACAGGAGAATGTCACTATCTATAGCTTAATTTCTCTATCTCTGAAATGTATTAGTGCAGAATATCTCTTTAGATTATATTAGAATAACTTTATTTTTCCTGAGGGGGGAACTTAGTTTCTTACTGTTTGAGATAAACAGTATGCATCACCCATATAGATACAGTAGGGAGTAGGGTAAACTCTATCATAGGCACAGGAAATATCCCAATGCCCATTCTCTATTTCTGAAATGAATAGCAGAGGACAGTGACTGTTGAGTCATATTATACACTCTGAGAATGTACTGTACCCATTGCCCATGTAGAGGTACCATGCTCAAACATGGTATTTGATCCCCTGCTGATTTTGTACGTTTGCCCACTGACAAAGACATGATCAGTCCATAATTTTTATGGTAGGTTTATTTGAACAGTGAGAGACAGAATAACAACAAAAAAATCCAGAAAAGCGCATGTCAAAAATGTTATAAATTGATTTGCATTTTAATGAGGGAAATAAGTATTTGACCCCCTCTCAATCAGAAAGATTTCTGGCTCCCAGGTGTCTTTTATACAGGTAACGAGCTGAGATTAGGAGCACACTCTCTTAAAGGGAGTGCTCCTAATCTCAGTTTGTTCCCTGTATAAAAGACACCTGTCCACAAAAGCAATCAATCAATCAGATTCCAAACTCTCCACCATGGCCAAGACCAAAGAGGTCTCCAAGGATGTCACGGACAAGATTGTAGACCTACACAAGGCTGGAATGGGCTACAAGACCATTTCCAAGCAGCTTGGTGAGAAGGTGACAACAGTTGGTGCGATTATTCGCAAATGGAAGAAACACAAAATAACTGTCAGTCTCCCTCGGCCTGAGGCTCCATGCAAGATCTCACCTTGTGGAGTTACAATGATCATGAGAACGGTGAGGAATCAGCCCAGAACTACACAGGAGGATATTGTCAATGATCTCAAGGCAGCTGGGATCATAGTCACCAAGAAAACAATTGGTAACACACTACGCCGTGAAGGACTGAAATCCTGCAGTGCCCGCAAGGTCCTCCTGTTCAAGAAAGCACATATACAGGCCCGTCTGAAGTTTGCCAATGAACATCTGAATGATTCAGAGGAGAACTGGGTGAAAGTGTTGTGGTCAGATGAGACCAAAATCGAACTCCTTGGCATCAACTCAACTCGGCGTGTTTGGAGGAGGAGGAATGCTGCCTATGACCCCAAGAACACCATCCCCACCGTCAAACATGGAGGTGGAAACATTATGCTTTGGGGGTGTTTTTCTGCTAAGGGGACAGGACAACTTCACCACATCAAAGGGACGATTGATGGGGCCATGTATTGTCAAATCTTGGGTGAGAACCTCCTTCCCTCAGCCAGGGCATTGAAAATGGGTCGTGGATGGGTATTCCAGCATGACAATGACCCAAAACACACGGCCAAGGCAACAAAGGAGTGGCTCAAGAAGAAGCACATTAAGGTCCTGGAGTGGCCTAGCCAGTCTCCAGACCTTAATCCCATATAAAATCTGTGGAGGGAGCTGAATGTTCGAGTTGCCAAACGTCAGCCTCGAAACCTTAATGACTTGGAGAAGATCTGCAAAGAGGAGTAGGACAAAATCCCTCCTGAGATGTGTGCAAACCTGGTGGCCAACTACAAGAAACGTCTGACCTCTGTGATTGCCAACAAGGGTTTTGCCACCAAGTACTAAGTCATGTTTTGCAGAGGGGTCAAATACTTATTTCCCTCATTAAAATGCAAATCAATTTATAACATTTTTGACATGCGTTTTTCTGGATTTATTTGTTGTTATTCTGTCTCTCACAGTTCTTTAAATGATATGAGAAAAAAATATTCAATTTTATTTGGAACGGCAAGCCAGACAAAATTAAAAGGGCATATTTATATAATGACTATGAATTCGGAGGACAGAAATTATTAAATATTAAAGCATTAGACCTATCACTAAAAGCTTCAGTCATACAAAAGTTATACTTAAATCCGAACTGGTTCTCAAGCAAATTTTTAAGATTGTCTCACCCAATGTTCAAGAAAGGCCTTTTTCCCTTTATTCAGATTACAACAACTCATTTGCAGTTATTTGAAAAGGAAATAATCTCCCAAATATCACTATTTCTAAAACAAGCCATAGAAAGTTGGTTGCAATTTCAATTTAATCCTCCAGAAACGATAGAACAAATAATGCAACAAATATTGTGGTTAAATTCAAATATACTAATTGACAAAAAAACTGTATTTTTTGACAGAATGTTTAAAAAAGGTATAATCTTCGTAAATGATATCATTGGTAGGACTGGTGGAGTTATGTCGCACATGCAGCTAACAAAAACATATGGAAATGTCTGCTGTACCCAAAATTACAACCAAATAATTGCAGCCTTACCGCAAAAGTGGAAGAGGAAAGTGGAAGGGGAGAAAGTAAGGAACTTGTCTGTCGGCCTTGCATTAAAGAACATAATTGGTTAAGGAAAACTGTGATAAATAAAAAAGTATATCAGTTTCACTTAAGGACCAAAGGATTGACAGCCGTCCCATATAGATTGCAAAATAGTTGGGAAGAGATCTTTGACCAACCGATCCCAATGGCATAGTGTTTATGAACTGACACGCAAAACGACACCGGATTCAAAAATTTGAATCTTTCAATTTAAATTATTATATAAAATTCTTGCTACCAATATAATGTTATTTATATGGGGGATAGAATCTTCCCAGCTCTGCATATTTTGCTGTGAAGAGACAGAATCATTAGATCATTTGTTTGGGTTCTGTCTATTTGTAGCTTGTTTTTGGACACAGGTTCAGGAATGGCTAAAGGATTGCAATATTTACTTGGAACTAACCTTGCAGATAGCATTACTGGGTGATCTGAAAAGTCATAGTCAATCGATCAATAATATAATAATACTTTTAGCAAAAATGTTTATTTTTAATTCACAATTTGTAGAAGCAATGAGAATAGAAAGGTTCAGAACTTTTGTAAAACATCACAGTACGGTTGAAATATATATGGCAAATAGAAATCCTATATGGATGGTGTTAAGAGATAGATGGGAGGTATTGAATAGAGTTGAAGGATGGGGCTAATAACAAATAACAACAAATAATAACAAAGATAGCTAATAATGTAAGCATACTGTGTCCATAATAAGTATATAGGTTGTATGTTGGGAGCTTTTGGGAAAGAGCACAGTTAGAAATATATGGCATATAGAAGCAAACCGGATGGACATCATGAAAATGAACGGAGAGGTTGAGAGTAGAAGAAGTTCAGGAGCAAAAAAAAATATATATATATATATATATATATATATATATATATATATATATATATATATATATATATATATATATATATACAGTGGGGGGAAAAAGTATTTAGTCAGCCACCAATTGTGCAAGTTCTCCCACTTAAAAAGATGAGAGAGGCCTGTAATTTTAATCATAGGTACACGTCAACTATGACAGACAAATTGAGAAAAAATATCCAGAAAATCACATTGTAGGATTTTTTATGAATTTATTTGCAAATTATGGTGGAAAATAAGTATTTGGTCACCTACAAACAAGCAAGATTTCTGGCTCTCACAGACCTGTAACTTCTTCTTTAAGAGGCTCCTCTGTCCTCCACTCGTTACCTGTATTAATGGCACCTGTTTGAACTTGTTATCAGTATAAAAGACACCTGTCCACAACCTCAAACAGTCACACTCCAAACTCCACTATGGACAAGACCAAAGAGCTGTCAAAGGACACCAGAAACAAAATTGTAGCTTGGTTTGAAGAAATCAACTGTGGGAGCAATTATTAGGAAATGGAAGACATACAAGACCACTGATAATCTCCCTCGATCTGGGGCTCCACGCAAGATCTCACCCCGTGGGGTCAAAATTATCACAAGAACGGTGAGCAAAAATCCCAGAACCACACGGGGGGACCTAGTGAATGACCTGCAGAGAGCTGGGACCAAAGTAACAAAGCCTACCATCAGTAACACCATACCTACTGTGAAGCATGGGGGTGGAAACATCATGCTTTGGGGCTGTTTTTCTGCAAAGGGACCAGGACGACTGATCCGTGTAAAGGAAAGAAAGAATGGGGCCATGTATCGTGAGATTTTGAGTGAAAACCTCCTTCCATCAGCAAGGGCATTGAAGATGAAATGTGGCTGGATCTTTCAGCATGACAATGATCCTAAACACACCGCCCGGGCAACGAAGGAGTGGCTTCGTAAGAAGCACCATCATTTGCAAATAAATTCATAAAAAATCCTACAATGTGATTTTCTGGAAAAATAATTCTCATTTTGTCAGTCATAGTTGACGTGTACCTATGATGAAAATTACAGGCCTCTCTCATCTTTTTCAGTGGGAGAACTTGCACAATTGGTGGCTGACTAAATACTTTTTTCCCCCACTGTATATATAAAAAATATGGGGGATTGGAAGTGATGCACACAATTACATTGATAGAAGATACAATCTCTCTGCAATATTAAGCTGATCCACCCCCCAAAAAATACATCAATAAAAAATAAAAAAAAGAGCATTTTTGTTTACAAAAAAGTACTAAGTCATGTTTTGCAGAGGGGTCAAATACATATTTCCCTTATTAAAAATGCAAATCAATTTATAACATTTTTGACATGTGTTTTTCTGGATTTTTTTGTTGTTATTCTGTCTCTCACTGTTCAAATAAACCTACCATTAAAATTATAGACTGATCATGTCTTTGTCAGTGGGCAAACGTACAAAATCAGCAGGGGATCAAATACTTTTTTCCCTCACGGTATGTAGAATAGCCCCTTAGCTTCTAACGACTCTTGTGTAGCTTGTGCACGTTATAGAGCAAAACATGTTACACGTGTGTGTGTTCATGAGAGTCTTAGCTTTTCATAGATTTGCCAAAATGTCTAAAAACCTGTTTTCGCTTTGTCATTATGGGGTATTGTGTGTAGGTTGATGATTACATTTTTTTATTTAATCAATTTTAGAATAAGGCTGTAACGTAACAAAATGTTGAAAAAGTCAAGGGGTCTGAATACTTTCCGAATGCACTGTGTGAGACAAGTTGAGCAAACACATTTAAAATTAACTGATTTTTTCCTAAGTTCTCAAGTTGGAGCTAAATAATAATTTCTAGTTGAATTAACATATGAGATAAGTTGAGCAAACACGTCATTTTAAATTGGAGCTAAGTTTGGGCCAACTAAAACATTTCAATTCAGGTAACACTTTGACAGAAAAATTTAGTAAACAAAAAAAGGCTGTGGAACCAGTTACTTAATAATAATTAGTTGAAACACAATTACATTTTTTTACAGTATATGTCTTTCCCTGACGGCAATTTCGTTTAATTTATGTAAATAATGTGTCACACTTACCATAAATTCCAGTCAGAACTTTTTTCACCAATTAGTGTGTGTATTCAGCGCTGTTACTTGAGGTGGAACTCTCTAAGTGTATCCTGATCTGTGGCGTGGCTACCGAGTCTCCTCACCATACTCTGGGTGTATCTCTGGGTGCATGCTACCCAATCCCCAATATAGTGCACTACCTTTGATGCTCAGATCAAAAGTTGTGCACTATATAGGGAATTGGGTGCCATTTGAAACGTACCATTTTTCTCTCTCTCTGCCTCCCAGATAACGCTGATGTCACTGGGTAAAATGCAATTAAAAGTTAAGGTGGTAAAAAAACTATTTTCTATTTATTTTTATTTTTTCAAGATTTCAGGGGCATTCCGTACATTGTTATATTGTTGCAGGGTTTTATTCATGTTGATATGCTCTGTCTCTGGGCACACTCCTGTTGCATTTGCAACAGCCAATGAGGATCCTAATAAACTAAACTAAACACTGGAAGAACATGTAAGAGATAAAGTAGAGAGGTGAAAATGGTGTAGTGAAGAAAGTCACACATTCTTGTTTTTGATTGGTAAAACAGCTATTCTCTGTTTCAGACGTTGACGAGTGCGCCACGCAGACACACACATGCTGGAACGACAGTGTGTGTGTGAACCTTCCGGGTGGCTTTGACTGTATGTGCACATCTGGACCGGCCTGCAGTGGAGACTGTCTTCATGAGGAGGGCCTCAAACACAACGGACAGGAGTGGAACCTCAGCCTGGACCGCTGCACCCTCTGCTCCTGCAAGGTAGAGCTAACACACACACACACACACACACACACACACACACACACACACACACACACACACACACACACACACACACACACACACACACACACACACAAACACATTCTGCTCCTGCAAGCTATAGGGCTACCACACACCACACACACACACACACACACACACTGCTCCCTCTGCTCCTGCAGTGTAAGACTAACACACACACACACACCTACATGTGAGCCAACGCTCATCCAAGAATGCACTCACATCAACACATCACTGTGTTCACACACAGACAAACACATGCATGCATGTACACGCACACTCACAAGATATAGCTTTTCTGACAAACACACATCCCCACCTCACACCTACTTTGTTAGTGGCTACTACCTAGTAAACAGGAACAAAGCGAAAAAATACAGAAAGACACATCCACAGTCACATAGATGAAACAACCATCTGCACAAACACTCACATCTGGGTTCCCGCTGTAACAGCACACACATCTACCTCAAAATTAAGACAGAGAAAGAACAGAGAACGACAGACACTTCTACTCTGTCACACACATACAGTGCCTTGCAAAAGTATTCATCCCATTTTTCTTATTTTGTTGCATTACAACCTGTAATTTAAATTTATTTTTATTTGGATTTCATGTAATGGACATACACAAAATAGTCGAAATTAGTGAAGTGAAATGAAAAAAAAAAGTTGTTAAATTTTTTAATTTAAATAAAATCACAGAAAAGTGGTGCGTGCATATGTATTCACCCCCTTTGCTATGAAGCCCCAAAATAAGATCTGGTGCAACCAATTACCTTCAGAAGTTACATAATTAGTTAAATAAAGTCCACCTGTGTGCAATCTAAGTGTCACATGATCTCTCACATGATCTCAGTATATATACACCTGTTCTGAAAGGCCCCAGAGTCTACAACACCACTAAGCAAGGGGCACCACCAAGCAAGCGGCACCATGAAGACCAAGGAGCTCTCCAAACAGGTCAGGGACAAAGTTGTGGAGAAGTACAGATCAGGGTAGGGTTATAAAAAAATATCAGAAACGTTGAACATCCCAAGGAGCACCATTAAATCCATTATAAAAAAATGGAAAGGATATGGCACCACAACAAACCTGCCAAGAGAGGGCCGCCCACCAAAATTCACGGACCTGGCAAGGAGGGCATTAATCAGAGAGGCACCAAAGAGACCAAATATAACCCTGAAGGAGCGGCAAAGCTCCACAGCGGAGATAGGAGTATCCGTCCATAGAACCACTTTAAGCCGTACAATCCACAGAGCTGGACTTTACGGAAGAGTGGCCAGAAAAAAGCCATTGCTTAAAGAAAAAAATAAGCAAACACGTTTGGTGTTCGCCAAAAGCCATGTGGGAGACTCCCCAAGCATATGGAAGAACGTACACTGGTCAGATGAGACTAAAATTTAGCTTTTTGGCCATCAAGAAAAACGCTATGTCTGGCGCAAACCCAACACATCTCATCACCCCGAGAACACCATCCCCACAGTGAAGCATAGTGGTGGCAGCATCATGCTGTGGGGATGTTTTTCATTGGCAGGGACTGGGAAACTGATCAGAATTGAATGAACGATGGATGGTGCTAAATACAGGGAAATTCTTGAGGGAAACCTGTTTCAGTCTTCCAGAGATTTGGGACGGAGGTTCACCTTCCAGCAGGACAATGACCCTAAGCATACTGCTAAAGCAACATTCAAGTTGTTTAAGGGGAAACATTTACATTTCTTGGAATGGCCTAGTCAAAGCCCAGACCTCAATCCAATGAAGGAGCTGGAGCAGTTTTGCCTTGAAGAATGGGCAAAAATCCCAGTGGCAAGATATGCCAATCTTACAGAGACATACCCCAAGAGACTTGCAGCTGTAATTGCTGCAAAAGGAGGCTCTACAAAGTATTGACTTTGGGTGGGTGAATAGTTATGCACGCTCAAGTTCATTTTTTGGGTGTTATTTCTGGTTTGTTTCACAATAAAACATATTTTGCATCTTCAAAGTGGTAGGCATGTTGTGTCAATCAAATGATACAAACCCCCAAAAAATCCATTTTAATTCCAGGTTGTAAGGCAACAAAATAGGAAAAATGCCAAGGGGGTTGAATACTTTCAAACTCCCGGCTGGTTCCTGGTCTTGCTGCTCAATTTAATTGTCTCATTGTATGACTGTTTAGGGGTGTCAAACATACGGGCTGTTGTTTATTTTTTATTTTCTTGGGGGGGGGGCAATCTTAATCGACATTAAAATGACTCAAACCAAATCGGAACTGAAGATAGACCTACATTTATAGTGTCTTTACCCTGTCCAGCTTGCTAACAGTCAGTGAAAAAAAGCTATACAGTCAAGAAGCATAAACAATTCCAAAAGCGATGGATATAGGCCTATTGTTTGCTAAATGAGTTTGACACCCCTGGTTTAGCAGGTCCCAGTACAGTAGGGAGGCGTGTACTGTAGAGGTTTTCACGAGCAGGTCCGGATCTAAAATTCTAAATAATGTCACAAGTCTGGGTTGGATCTGAATGTCATGAGTCTCGGGTATGCGTAATTGTAACTGACCCATACAGATCTGAATGGGACTGCTGCAGTAGAAAGAGAGAGACATTTTATAATTCATGCTGCTGCTTTTGCTTTTCACGAGAGTGGTTGGCCAATCATCAATCAGGCAATAGGCTATAGTCGTAGAGCCTCTATGTGTGGCAAAAGTTAGGAGATATCTAATCAATTGAAGATGAAATTAAAATGACGGTATGAAAAGTTAAAGGAGAAGGATAGGCTACAACGACCAAGAGCCAACAGTTGTTGTTATTTGTAACTGTAGGATTAGAAAGCACATGCGCCTCAATTACAGTGTTAATTTCGTCCCAAAAAATTGTGACTAAAATATTAGTCAAACACCTATTTTTCAGTGGCAATTGATGAGACTATAACTACTAAATAGACCCAGAAAAAAAAACTATAACTGAACAACAACAAATAATACATTCATTTCAGTTTACTAAAACGAGACAAAATTAACTCTGCGACTAAAATCTGACTACTAAAAGGACTGGACAAGATTTTTCGGAGAGATTGAGAGCTTTTCAGTGATAAGCACAATTAATATTAGCAGCACAGATGCACAGCGCAGTTCTGTTGAACAGTGGGAAGGACACCTCACACCCGGCAAACACAGCCTACATCAACCAGGAGCAAACAATGAGTGTGGGCAGACTGGCTCCGCTCCGGCTCCACCTCCGATTATACACATCGCTCAGGCGACTCTTTATTCACCTTAGCTAACCAGTCACCACCAGCCTTCTAGTTAGCTACCCTTTGCCTGGTTAAGAAATACAAGCTGCTTTATGAAATTAAAAACAGAATTTAGTTTAGTTTAATAGTAAAACAACAGTATAGCTATGTTTTTCTCTCCTTTGAGTAGGCTATAGAAAAGTAGTCTGCCTTTGAATTTGTAGTCTCGCTCAACCCTCCCACTTTTCACACTGCATTTCATATACAGGTTATGTAGCCAACGTAGCCAAGTCTCCCTCTTCTTTCGTCAGAGAAAATGGCTTGATTCTATCCCTTTGGCTACAGTTAAAAAGATATGACCTGTAATACCGGTGCTACGTTTTTTTTTTTGTATGCTTTGGCAGGCCGCATTTTACATTCATAAAACATATTGCGGGCCATTCTAAAACTAGGCTACTTGCAGACCGGACCATTAACCATTTGTTTAGGCTGCACTTTGTTCAGTCATGTTACCTCATTAGCTAGTTATAGCTAACAACCTGGATGCGTTCAGCAGGAGGCAACGTCGTGGAACGTTCAGATATAAATATGCTATGTAGAACAAACATGAGTGCCAAAATTAAGACTGGTCAATTAGCCTAGCTAGCAAACGTTAGCTAGCTAAGGTCGATGTGAAAGGTGACAGAGCTAGAGCGGTGTTTGTCAGACCCTGAGACATCCCGAAAATCGGTCTTCTCACAAAATCGTCTGTAGCGTCCGAACGGTTTGGCCTACAAACTATTATGGTGTACTCCATTTTGCTCTACAACCAGAATTGTCAGGAGACTCGGCTGAAGTCGGTACAGCTGATCTGCCAACTTCTGTCTGTAGCGTCCAAACCGTTTGGGCTACACACTAATATTACCCCTCTGTGCAAAGGTGACTCTCACGAACATGTACATGTCAGTTCAATAATAATAATAATAATAATAATAATAATAATGTTTCCTTATCTTTCTTATATCTCTCAGATATAGGAGAGACACTTCAGAACAAACTTCCTTTTGTTATTCAATGCGTTTGTGTGGGCTAATAGCAGTAAGGCCAAAAATATTTTTTCTGCAAATATTTTTGGGGGATATTTTTTCTGATACTTCAAGGGGTGTTAAAATTCAAAATCAAATAGCTAAATGATCCTTGGTATCACCTTCTTAAAACAATTCCATATAGCTTAGTAGAATCCCCCTCCCCCCCCCCTCCCCCGGCCCCGGCTTAGACAGGGTTTAGACACTGATGGGTTAACTAGCTTCTCACGGTTTGATGCAGTGAAGATGTGTATTACGTAATAAGATTGGATGATAAATAACCTAGCTATGGCAGCTATTAGTCTACTATAGCGCGAGTTGGCTTGTTGGTTAGTTGCTGTCGTCTCTCCATGCTTCCTCCCTCCTCCCTGTGTCACTCGCTCACAGTATGGCCCCTCCCCCGCCTGCTAGAGAGGCACCGCTCGCTCCCTCCTCTCACGGTTTATCAGCTCTGTTTAATAGTGGCTTAAATAGTGGCTACTTTTCTGCTGTTTCCCTCACTCGGATCGGATTCGACCGGGTCTATACAGAACGGGTCTAGTTGTCTATATTCATTTTTTTTATTTATGCATATCGGGTCCGGGTGGGAAGCCCCAGGTCCATTTCGAAACGGGTCCAAAAAGTGAAGACCTCTAGTGTGCTGCTCTCTCCTTGACTGTTCACCCTTTGTTTCAGACAGAATACTACTTTGAT